TTTGAGAAATGTCTGTTCATATCCTTTGCCCACTTTTTGATGGGGTTGTTTGTTTTTTTCTTGTAAATTTGTTTGAGTTCTTTGTAGGTTCTGTATATTAGCCCTTTGTCAGATGAGTAGATTGCAAAAATGTTCTCCCATTCTGTAGGTTGCCTGTTCACTCTGATGGTAGTTTCTTTTGCTGTGCAGAAGCTCTTTAGTTTAATGAGATCCCATTTGTCAATTTTGGCTTTTGCTGCCTTTGCTTTTGGTGTTTTAGACATGAAGTCTTTGCCCATGCCTATGTCCTGAATGGTACTACCTAGGTTTTCCTCTAGGATTTTTATGGTATTAGGTCTAACATTTAAGTCTCTAATCCATCTTGAATTAATTTTCAAATAAGGAGTAAGGAAAGGATCCAGTTTCAGCTTTCTACTTATGGCTAGCCAATTTTCCCAGCACCATTTATTAAATAGGGAATCCTTTCCCCATTTCTTGTTTCTCTCAGGTTTGTCAAAGATCAGATGGCTGTAGATGTGTGGTATTGCTCTGACTCACAGGCTGGAGTGCAGTGGCACGATATTGGCGCACTGTAAGCTCATCCTCCCAGGTTCACGCCATTCTCCTGCCTCAGCCTCCTGAGTAGCTGGTACTACAGGAGTCCACCACCAAGCCTGGCTAATTTTTGTTGTATTTTTTAGCAGAGACAGGGTTTCACTGTGTTAGTCAGGACGGTCTCAATCTCCCGACCTCATGATCCACCCGTCTCAGCCTCCCTAAGTGCTGGGATTACAGGCATGAGCCACCACACGTGGCCCAAGATACAATCATATTTCAACTTTAAACTTACGGAATTACTTAATATCCCTATAAGTTTAATTGTTAGTCTGAAGAGGGACAGCTCTTCAGACCTTAGGAAACAACTTTCCTACAGACAGTAACAGATAGAATCTTAGTTCAACTTTAAACTTATCCACAGAATTACTTAATCTTCTGTTAAGTTTAACTGTTAGTCTAAAGAGGGACAGCTCTTAAGACTTTAGGAAACAAACTTCCTATGTTAGAGTTTAGGGCTAAGCATAGCGGGGTATCAAATCCCAGTTGGGTCTTAGCTATTGTGTCTTCAGAATATTAAAGTCACCTTCTTAGCATAATTTATCTGAACTGGAGTTTTTTACAACTAATACGGAGTTTAACTTTATTGAGGATAGACCTTAAACACTCTTTATGCTGAGATCTATTAGTTTGGGTTAATCATATGACCGAGATCACTGGCATTGAAATTGACCAACCCTAGATATCAGTATACCTTAGTTAAACTTTCATTTATCACTAAATATTTATCACCGTTGTTTCCCGTGGGAGTGTGCTTGAGTAAAGTGTTTTGAGCTGCATTTGTGCATGCTTGACACTTACTGCTTTTGGTATGGGTGACCTAAAGGGCATTTTCACTGGGGTGGTGATAGTTGCATGTGTAGTCTTACTAAGAGCTAATAGTAAGGACAAAACCAAACTTATTTTTTACAGGGTTATGCAAACTCACCTAGACATTTTCAGTGTCTTGCTTTGAAATAATTAAGCTACATTAACCATGTAAATTCTTATGTCTAAAATCAGAATATTAGAAGAAAAGAAGTAAATATAAATAATCATTTACAGTTCTAGGAACTCAGGGTATTTAAAGTTGAATTGGCAGAGGTTTGGTTGAGAGGATTACTCATAATTAGAATATAACTGATTTAGGTTATAATATATGTGGTATACTTTTACAGTGATATGCTCAAGGTATTATATTTGTATTATGGTAGAAGTTTAGATGTTCTTTCTATTTATATATAAAATTGAGTCTTGATTTGTGGGTTGTTAATATTTAGGAAAATTACATCAATTGAGAGGTAGCTGTGTGGCATATTCATGGTTGAAATATGATTTTGGGGCTCTGACTGGGCTGCATTTTAGTCTTTTGTTTTGGTGGCTTGGCAAGGGTACATTTACTTACATTGATGGAAAAGTTAGAGATGGAGAGAGGAGGAGTTTGGGGATTTAATCAGAAATAGTCCTTGAATGTAAGCATATGTGTGTGAGCATAGGTGCATGAGCATACATGCTTATTGATTAATTGTTATGTCTTTCAGGCATGAATTAATTCAGAACTTATGGTTATTATGCCAGCCCAGAATATTCAATATATGTTCAGTTTCTACAATTTATTTGGCAGGAGTGAAAACAGAGTTCATCTGCAGCTGATTTGGCAGGGACCAGGCCTTCTGCAATGGTGAGTGATAGCATTCCCCAAAGTTAAAAATACCAAAGGAATAACAGTACTCTCCTGACTGATTAATAGGGTGGTAGTAATTATTTCATCCAGATGTCTTATTTAAGGGTAACGCATAGGTGGTCTTAGTCTAAAGTCCCTGAAATAAGAACCAGATGCCAGGTGTAGTTTCAAAATAGTCACCCCCAATTGTTTTGGCTGGAGCAAGGAGAATAGTACTTCTGAGCAGGATGATGATTTCATGGAGGTTGGTAAATTAATAGACCAGAATTTGAAAGGGAATATCTGTGTTGACAAGTGATTTCTTTACTGAAGTGTGCTATGTCCAATGAATGAATGTATGCAATATGTAATATTAAGGATATATAGTATGAGTCAATATTCATACAGATTAGATTTGTGTTGTACAGTCAATAATAGTAGATGTACCTTAATGGAATGTTAGTACATGCTTATATGTATGTGGACTAGATTTGTAATCTATGAATATGAATGTACTATGTAAAAGTCAATAATTATAGTACTATATATTATTCATGGGGACTAGCAGTGATGCACAAAGTACGTAAAAGTGTTAATGTATTAGTGCTAGTTGATTAATCCTGACACAGTAGTTAAAGTATGTGGTGTGAAAAATTCAGGGGGTTATTAGCCTTTCAGCTTTGCGGGTTGATGGTGAAGTGGGAATTTTTATTCCCTGAGTTCTTATGAGGAGGGGATTTTCCATTTCTGGTTTGCAAGACCAGAGTATTGAATTATATTATTTAAGTAATTTATTTTCAATTAGGGTAGTGAGCAGTATAAGAGTGTGGACAGTAGAGAAGTACATGACAGATGCTCTCTGTCTGATAGCAATAAAAGAATATTTGACCGACTGCCCTCCTATTCATGTAAGTATAAGCATGTCAGTCACTAGGATTCAGAATAGAGATTGACTTAATGACCAGAATATTATGCTTTGTTGTTTACACGTGAGAAATACAGGAAGAACTGCTAGAATGAGAATGGAGGATACGAGGGCAGTACACTTCCTAGTTTGTTCAGGATAGATCCTAAGATTTCATAGACAAATACAAAGTAACACTCTCGCTTAATATGGGATGGGGTATTGAGGGGGTTGGCTAAAGTGTAATTATCTGAGTTGCTCAAGAGCTCAGACAAAAATAGTACTAGGGTTATTAGAAGGAGGAAAAGAAAAATTAAACCTGGAATATATTTGGTGGTATAATAGGGATGAAAAGTGATTTTGCTGAGATCTGAAGAAATCCCTGAAGGGTGGTTAGATCCTGTTTCATGCAAAAGTAGAAGGTGAACAGTTGCTAGAGCTGTAATGATAAGACTAAAATGAAATGGAAGTTGAAAAATCATGTGAGGGTAACTTTGTCAATTGAAAATCTGCCTCAAATTCATTGTACAATGTAAATTCCAATATATGGGATGACTGATAGTAGATTTGTAATTACTGTAGCACCTCAGAATGATATTGAACCTCATGGGAGAATGGAGCCTATGAATGCTGTTGCTGCATTTCTGAATAGGAGGATAATGCCAATATTTCAGTTTTCTGGGAGTAGAAATTATCGATAGAATATGCCTTGGCCAACATGTAAGAAGAGATAAATGAAAAATATTGAAGCATGGTTGTCATGAAAATAGTGGACCATTTAGTCGTAGTTTATATCTCAGCTTATATGAGAGACTGAATAAAGGGCAATTAAGGTGTCTAATGTATAGCACATCACAAAAAATAATCCCGTAATAATTTGGAGAATTAGTCAGGAACGAAGAACGGAGGCAAAGTTTCATCATGTAGAAATTTTAGATGCTGTTGGAATATCAGTGAATGAGTACTTCATAAATTTTATTAGCAGGTGGCTTTTGTGGGTATTGGTCATTAGTGTTCTTATAGTTGAAGTATAATGGTGGTTTTTTATATTAGTCATGGTTATAGTCCAGGTGGGAATACTACCATATACTTTATTTTTATTAATATTCTCTTGGTTATAGGGTTTGTAGGTTGTTCTTCAAAACTTTCTCCTACTATTGGAGGACTAGGGCTAATTATTAGTTGTGCTGTAGGTTGTGGTATTGTGTGGAATATTGGTGAGGCTTTCATGGGGTTGATAGTCTTTTTGATTTATTTGGTTTGTATGATAGTTGTTTCTGATTATGCTGCAGTGGTGGCTATTGAGGAATATCATGAAACATGAGGATCAAATGTTGACATTTCAGAGACTTTATTGTTAGGATTATTAATAGAGTTGATATTGGTTCCATGAATAGATGAGTACAATAAGGTGGTGGTAATGATTGATTTTAATAGCATAAAGAGTTGAATAATTTTTGAGGGTAAGAAAGTAGTGTTGTTCCATGAAGATTCTGTGGGTGTGTCTGCCTTATCCAAGGGATGCAGACCTAATACCCAGGTGCTGAGACTTTTTGGTTTAAGTTCCTTCCCATGGGAATATTGTGACGTATCACTTGGTTAGAATCATAATAATGTGAACTTTCTGCCTGCAACTGCCAACAAGGTAGTTGTCCCTTGGCCTATAAGCTAAGTGACTTATCTCTCCTGCCCCTTCCCTGCCCCTAGATGATATTGTTAAATATTGTTTGACTTAATATCTGGGTCATGTGACTCTCCTCTCCTCTCTTGCCTGGGTCCTGCTTGCCAAAGAAATTGTTACATACCGCTGTTTATAAAACCTAGGTGATGTGACTCTCCTTCATATTCTAGATTCTGTCAAGAATGTAACATCACCTAGGTGCTGGATCCAGTGATGTCACAATTCTTACTGAGAGCAGGGTCCAGGGAGAAGAGTCACATCACTTCAAGGTTGGCACAGGTAGATATCAAAATCTCGTAAGTAGGCTGGAACCAGTCTGAAGACTGGTGATTGGCAAATATTTATACTGCAGTCACAATGGAATAAAATTGTAGGGATTAGATTTACAATACCACACATGTCCTATTTTCATGTAGGACAGTTGACTTCATCCATTTGTGATGGTGAAAGTTCTTACTGTCAGCTGGGTGTGTACAGGAGTCTCACAACTTCCTGTGTGTGCTAGGCCCTGTTATGATGTTCTCTATACACCCAAAAGGTGTTATAAAATATGTGTGAGTGTTGTAAGCCTCTGTGACCATTTTTCCAGAAGGAGATCTTGGATGTCACTCATGTCCCTAAACCTAGTTATAAGAGGCAAGATTTCTCCTACCGGCTGACTCCACAAAGGAAAGTCATTATCATACCTGTTAGCTGAGCCTTCATATATGTCACCATCACCTCTGTGGTTATTAAACGGGAAGGACAACCATGTCACCTAAATCCTAGGCCAAAAATATTTCAATATTCTCTTTGTAGGCAGGGCTCTAACAGAAAAGTCACAAAACTTGGGTGGTAGGCTCAGCTCTATACATAATGCCTTTTGTGGAGACTGTCCAGGCAGGAGAAGAGAGTAACATCACCTAAATAATGTTTCCAGAGATATGTCACAATGACTCCTGTTGAAAGTCGCATCACCTTAATGGGTGTTTTCCAGTGAAATATTACAGTCCTCCTTGCAGGCAAAACTCTGGAATTAGAGTCACATCAACTGGATGTAGGCAGGGCTTAGGCTGGAAAGGAGAAAAAACATCACCTAAGCAATTTGCCTGGATATGTCCAGATGTCACCTGTGTGCAGGACAAAGGCAGAAGGGTGAACTCACCTTGGTGCTGGGTTCAGCAGTATGTCACAATCTCTCTCGTGGTCAGGACCCAGGCAAGAGAGAAGAAACATCACCAAAGTGCTGAGCCACATTGGCAGAAATCCCCCCAAAAAAGAGTCCATCTTCTGGGTGCAGTACTGAGTTATATGTCAAAATGCACCCTAAGCACAGGGCCAAGGAAGTAGAGGAAGTCATATAACTTATGTAATGGACCTAGATAAAAGTCCCAAAGCACTTTGTAGACAGGGTTCAGGCCAAGATTCTACATCAGATGGTTTAGGGTCCCAGTGACATGCAAACATGCTCTTTGTCAAACTGCCAAAGAAGGTGTTATACATTGCTTAGGTGCTTGTATGTCACAATTTCAATTGTGCTCTGTGCCGAGAAAAGAGAGTCAAGACACTCAGATGCTGGGCTAATTCTTACTTCTTAATCACAGACTTGAAAATGTTCAGAAATTAAGTTTCATAGTCCACAGAAGTCCTGGATCCCGGTATGAGAGTCAAAACCTGCTATGAATTGGGTCAAAGTCCAGGAGTCACAATCTCAGCAATGGTAAAGATCCATGTATAAGAGCTGCAATCACACTTGAAGTCTGCATTCCAGTAGAAGAGCCAAAGCACTACAAGTCTGCTGAATCACAATTCATATGTCACCAAACAACCTGTGGGTCAGATTTATGTATGAGAGTAAAAAATTTAAGCTTCAACTGCTTATGTGTGTGTGAGATTTAGTACCTCATTCATAGGTTCTGCTTATGTGTGTGAATGACAATTGTGTCAGCTAGCATGTGCATCCAAGAGTCAAAATAGTAAATGGTTGCTGGTGCCTGTGTTGAAGCTCTTTGCACTACTCAGGCTTTAGGTGATATGCCTGGACAGCAAACATTTTTGTGAATTCTGGCAGGTGGGAGATCCAGGCCTTTACCCATGGCCATAAGACTAGCTATGAGAGTCAAAATATCTTCCTTGGCTGGGCCTAGGTATGACAGTTATTATTGTGCATATGAACTGAATCCAGGTATATGTCCCAATATCGCCTTTGGACAGAGACAAGACCGAAGCATCACATCATCTTGGTGCTGAACCAAGGATACATTATAATCTTCAATAATTTTAGTTTGTGTGACACAGGCAAGAATGTAACATCACCTGGGTGCCAGATGCAGTGATATGTCACAATCCTTACAGAGAGAAGGGTCAAGGCAGGACAGACACATCACCTCCAGTTTGGCCTAGGTGGATATCAAAATCCCATGTATAGGATCAAAAAATCTGAAGAATCAAATTACACATCTACTTGACAAAAACTTATGTCACAATAACACTGACAGAAAATTCCAAAGGTGAAATTTGCAATGCCACACAGGTCCTATTTTCATGTGTGACAGTTGGCTTCATCCATGTAAGGTGATGACAGTCATTACTGTTACCCAGATGTGCACGCAAGACTCACAATTTCACCTGTGTGCTGAGCCTTGCTTTGACTTTGTCTGTATAACCCAAAGATTTCATAAAATATGTGTGATTATTGTAAACTTTTGCAATTTTTTTACAAGAAGCTGATCCAGGATATCACCCCTGTCCCTAAACCTAGTTATGAGATTCAAAATATCCTGTGTTAGCTAAGACTAAATATGGGAGTCATTATCATTTTTGTGAGCTGTTTCTAGGTATCTGTTACAATTCCCTTTGTGGTTATGAATCTGGCAGAACAGCCTGATTCATATCACACCAACTATATGCTGGACCAGAAACATTCCAATATTCTCTTTGTAGGGAGGGTCCTGTCAGAAATGTCACATAACTTATGCTAGGTCCAGCTCTCTGGCAAAATGTCCCTTGTAGGCAGTGTCCAGGCAGAAAAGGTGAGTTATTTCACCTACGTGATGGATTCAAAAATATGTCTCAAGGTGTCCTGTTGACAGGGCCTTGGCCAGAGTGTCACATCATTTGGATGCAGTGTTTAGAAATGTTAAAATCACCAAAGAAAGCGGAAGACAGGCAGAGAGGGAGAGTCATCCCCGCTGAAGACATTGTTAAAATAGCACAGTCAAACCACCAACGTTCTTGGCCGAGGTATTTGTGAAAATCTCATTTGTGGGCTATACCTAGGCAGAATTATTAAATCACTTAGGAGCTTGGCAAGGTATATTTCACAATTACGCTTATGGAAATGTTTAAGAACAAGAGTCACCATCCTGCACGCATCCTGGCTCCAGGCATATGAGTTGTTATCAGGCCTTTGTTATGTTCCCAGGTATATGGCACTATATCACCTTTGGCTAGAGTGAAGGTAAGAAAGTCACCTCACCTATGTAGGTGCAGGTCCAGTGAGATGTCACAATCCACCTTGTGGGTAGGATCCTGGTAGAAGGGTCACATCACCTAAATGCTGATTTCAGTGACATAACAAAACAACCTCTGTCAGCAGGACTTTGGCAAGGGAGGAGACTCACATCACCTAGGCAATTGGCCTAGATATATATCACAATGGCCCTTATATGCAGCACCAAGGGTGGAGAGTGACCTCACATTAATGCTGAGCCCAGCAGTATGTCACAATCTTCCTGTGGTCAGGGCCCAGGCAAAAGCAAATAAACATCACCTAGGTGCTGAGCCAAGTTATATAGTATAGTGCTTCATGTAGGCAGAACCCAAAAAGTGGAATCACGTCACCTGTGTGCAGAACCTACTTATGTGTCACAGTGCACTGTAAGTTCAGTGCCTATGCAATGGAAGGGAGTCATGTCCCTTATGCGATGAACCTAGATATAATACACAATTTTCATTGTAGGCAAGTTTCAGGCAGATAATTCTCATCACCTGGGTGATATATAAAAGTGCCCATTTTAGTCAGAGCCAAGGAAGTTGCTGTATGTTGCTTAGGTGCTTGTTCAACATGAGGCACAATTTTATCTGTGGTCTGGGCCTGGAAAAGAGAGTCAAATTATTCATCGCTCGGCAAATTTTCCTGTCCTAATCACACTCTTAGAAAGGTTCAGAAATAAGTTACATCTCACACAAGTCCTAGTTTCATGTATGTGAGTCAGCTTTTTGTATGAGTTGGACCAAGTAGAGGAGTTACAGTATCAACAATGGGCAAGATCCACGTATCAACAATGGGCAAGATCCACGTATAACAGTCGCAATGATACTTGAAGATCATGTTTCAGTGGGAGAGTTAGAGCACCACAGTTGTGCTTAATCATGGTTCAAATGTTACTGAACCACCTCTGAATAAGATCCATGTGTAAGAGTAATTGCTTTAACATTCAACTGCTTTTGTGTGTGACATTTTGTACCTCATTCCTAGGCCTTGTTCAGGTGTGCGAATGACAGTCATGTCAGCTAGGTGTATATACAGGCGTCACATTTTCACCTCGTTCAAGTAAAAAACCCAGGAGTTTACCCATGGCCATTAGACTTCCTATGAAAGTCAAATATCTCCGCTATCTGGGTTCAGGTATGAGAATTATTAATGTGCATGTGTGCTTAACCTTGATATATGTCACAATTTCACCTATATGCAGGGACAAGGCAGTAGAGTCATATCACCTAGTGCTGAGACAGTGATATAGTATAATCTCATTTGTAGGCTTGGCCTATTTAGAAGTGTCACATCACTGTGTGTAGCCTCAAATCATATGTCCCCCAGTCCACTATACACAGGGAAGAAGAAAAAGAGGAGAGTCACTCCGCATAGTTGGGGTGGGCTCTGCAATATGTAGTAACTCCCTCTCTTGACACCATGACCACAGACATTATTGTGACATATCTCTGTGCCCATCACTTAGAAGATAAAACCCTCCTCTCTGGAAAGGGCCCTACACACAAGGCAGGATAATGACATATACGTAGGTCAGGCACACATATTCCCTAGGCCAGATGACCATACTCTTTTGCTAGGACAATGCCCAAAATATGCCATTTTGACATCTCATGGGCCTATCATATATGTGATATGGCTTTTCTGATGGGACCTGCCCACTTGAATAGTGATACATTGCTAGGTGTGGCACAAAGGCGATAGTACTCTTTTGCCAGGGCAAACATTTGAAGAAGACCTTGTGACATATCTAACGTGTCTGGGGCTATAACCTAGGTGATGTGACTTGCTGCTTTGCCCTGCCTAC